CCGGCAGTAAAACTTGTGGCTCACACTACCGAAATTGTGCATATGCAGTGGGGAACGAGCCATGGCAAAAACGTTGCTTGGGCAGCTTAAAAATAAAAATTTGAATAATGAAATGAACTGAAGACAGTTTTGTGGGTGATTTGATATAACATGTAACTTACGCCGACCTAATGTGTAAGAGGAGTGTAATTAAGGAATAGGAAGGCCTAAACGGGTAAAAATGAGTGATAATGGAAGGTGCAAGTTGCTCACAATATTTCAGCGAACATTTCCTGCTTTGAAAGACCTCGTGGTAAAAACACGTTTTTCAAATATTGGGAATGTTCCTGTTCACACTAACATTCTACACAAACATTCCAGCTTTTTCCCAACAGTCCGCCTTGTGCACAGACCATTTTAAGGCAGGACTCCAAAGGGAATGACTTGTTATAAGTGGAACAGCTGCCTGTTTAAAAAGGAATGACTGGACCATTCTGAAGTATTACAAACTCTGTAAAACTTTAAAAGAAGAGGGCAAGACAGAGATGAAATGTGGGATGAAAAGACATCCAATCAACAGCCAGCACGTGGGTTGCAACAATGACAACAGCATGGCTGCTTAAAGCTAGCAAGTCACGAGTTCTCTCACAATTGGATGCGATTGCGAGAATCTAAAACTTACAACAACAAAACCTGTGATATTAAATCACATAAATCCACAATTTTGGGGGCAAAAATTCCTGGAATCTAGAACAATCTTGAAAAATAAAACAACCAAGATTTGTCCATCTCAGGAAACCGGTCTGAGTGTGCCGGTCTTACCAAGAGATGAGAGTTGATCCTGCAGGAGTTGCGTGCTGGAGGGTTGAGTTGTTGGGGCCACCCCAGCTGCTACTCTGGGGGATGAAGGCGGTGAGTATGGAGCAAATGCCGCCAGGCTATCGCTGGCGTTATTGACGGCTGGGGGTGCTGGGTCCAGACCGCTCAGGTCAAGCAATGAATCTGTGCAGCCGGAACATGGTTGTGGTTTAAAAAAACAAGCTGAATATCAGTAGTGACAATATAACCTCACAAAGTATAATCCCAAATCTGGCAAACCAACTCCTGCCCCCCAAGTCATTGAGAAGTAGAATGTTTGTTACAACTGCCTCAAAATTGATTCAGCTGACTTCGCATTTTTTCACCATTTCGCAGGCCTTGGGCATGACAGTACCTACATGTATATAAGCATAGAGGAAGGACACAGGAGTTTGAACTGCCCTGGCTGAAACATCTGGCCAATTACCGCTTTCTGGCATGCCCGGTATGTCCAAAGCCAGAGCGCAGCGAATGCTTGCTACGCACCCAACCACAAATCCCCTTTTTACCCTATGATCGCCGCCGCAATTTGTCACTGGTAATCTACATCCTTAAAACTTTGTGCACTGAGGTATAGGAAACTGACTTTTCATGCATTTGTTGGTGCTTGGTAGGCTCTCATGACAACATCAAATTTAATGCTTGCGCAGTTGCTTGCATTATGCTGTGTGCCCTAAATCTAAATGTGCAGTCATTGCCCTTAATGAGCATTTTTTCTGGAGTTATTTTGGGAATAACTAGTCCGGTTGTTTACAAAATTGTGTGTTTTGATTGAGTCATTTTTATTATGGCATTTGTACAAAAACATATTTTACGAGATTTCACAATCACTCCCTGCGAGGAAATGGCACATTTTGTTCCATATGAGTTTTGTTTTCTAGTACAAGTCAACATTTTGTTGGCCAGTCTTAATAGCCAAATTCGTACAAAGTCTTAGAACACTGATGTATTGAGACGGAGGAGAATAACAAACTTTACATTACAAACTTTGCACGGATAACGGAGCAGTGTATCAAAATGTTAAAAGTTTATTTACAATGGCTAAAGCAGGTCTAATATCAGGGATTCTTCTCTATTTCCTGGTCACAAGAAGAATTTGTATTCAATTTCAAGCAAAAACTACAAGTGTTGTTAGGATATTACTGGCCCCGCTTGTCCAGCTAAGATGCAGGCAGTAATCAGGCATTTTTGGAATGTTTTGTATTGTTCGTCTGACTCGGCCATGACCATCATGGAACACTTTGAAGTGCCAACTCCTCCTGTGTCCTTCCTTTATGATATAAGTCAATTCCCTTACACATTGTGAATAATGCAGCAATTTCCATAGAGAGAATTCTTTTCAGTTTGTTATATCCTATGTTTGCTAATCATTCCAAACTCATTAATGCAGAAAGAATGATGCCTCAATGGAGTACTCGAATTCATGTGACTACAGACTGAGCAAATATCATTTGCTACCTGGTTTCATGGCTCAAGGTCAACAATGGGCTTACGTGTTCTATGAAACGACTGTTTCAACAGATCATTTGTACCATGATGCTTTTTTCAAGGGCTTAACTGAACTGACGGTGGCAAAATTGCATTTTTATAGAGGCATGTCTTTGTCTATTGCCGGGAAAACAAACTGGATTGCAGAGACTTGTGATGCGTAATGCGTAAGGTTAAATGGGGGGATTGTTTTTTTTGGGGGGGGGAAATGAACGGCTGTTTTGCCAGGTCGTGAAAAGCAGGCAAGACCATACTGTCTGCAGGCTCAATAGTAGCAGGTGTGTTTATGTTCAAGGACTGTGCAATTTGTATGACAGTCAAAACAGAGAAGTGGAGTGACACCCAGATATCACTGGCTACACCCAGCGCCCAGAGAGATATCTAACAGATTTGCAAAGTAAATGGTGGGCCTATGCCATACGCACACAGAGCCTCACCAAAAGGAAACTTGTTACTTGTGAGAAAAAAAAGGTTTGTTCATGCATGAAGCCATGCCATCTGCAGACAACATCTTGTACATAAATGAGCAAAGTAACGTGTCATTGCTCAGTACATCCGAGTATGGAGCAACGATATCCAGGGAAACAGTAACAATTGAGATACTTCACGTGAAGTTTTGGCTGGTGACAGTTCGTTGCTGAGCAAATATTCCCGGCACTTAGCAACTGTCTGAAACTTACAGCTTGGTCAAATTGGCATACATGATGGCTGAAGAACAAACAAACTGTGGAAATACACATACAAGTATGCCCTGTGGGGGTCCCCTCTTTACCTTCCTGATTGGATGTTTTGGCCAAAGGCGCTGAGGGAACACTGTTGACGGGTGAAGGGGAGGAGGGCTGGTCCAGACTGTCCAAGCCTATCTTCTCCTTGTACATCTCCATCACCTTGACCACAGCATCGTTAGTCTGTAAGACGTCAGCTAGAGGGTGAAAGGTGAAGAAGAAAATGACTGTTATTGGCCAGATAGACTTAGACAGATCATGAAACAAAGACATATCTGAAATCCTGTGTCATGGCACTGACTCATATTCATGAATTTGTAGATGACCAGCATTATTTCAACATATGTAAATATTCACTTTCAAGCTGTGTTTCCATGCCTAATTTTTGCTGCATCAACTGCTACAGGACAGCGAGCATTTTATAGAGAAGAAATACATAGTACAGTCTTTCAAACCCTTTAAAAAGCCCTTGGTCACTTCAATAACACCATCGTGACATTACTTAATAACTTTTGTTTCTCATTTTCTAGCAACTGTCACTTGAGTATGAGAAAACTTCAAAGATCAGAGTGGTGGCTTACCTATCCCATCATCCTTGTCCTCTGTGTCGCTGGCCAATCGAAACAGGTTGGGTCGCATCTTCTCACAGGCAATGTACAGTTCCTGGAATCAACAACAATCACTGACATTACGTGTGTACTAGCTGCCACTGAAAAGACAGGGCAAATGCACACTGCAGAATCCATCAAAGTAATGCGCTGACTCTGGCTGCTCTTATGGACGGAACTTGATCTGAAGCCTCCCAGATTCTTTTGAAATCAGCCTAGAACACGGACTTCATAAAATCTGGGCCCAATTTCATGGTGCCTCTTACCACAGAATTCCGTACTTACAATGTCCTTTCTGAGCTAACGGCAAGAGCAGGAAAACTCTACGCTACCTTTTAAGCAGAGAATCCTTAGTTACGGGGTGTATCCATGTGCACAAGCCAAAATTCCTTGCTAACCCGTGAAATACATTCGCCGTAAGCACAGAATTTTCAGCTACAGTAAGCGCTGATTTTTCCCTTGCAGTAAGCAGTGCCATGAAATTTGGCCTTGGACCTGTAACTCCCAGCAAGGTCACTAAAGCCACTGGTGGCCATCTTACTGTGCCGAATACAAAGGTAATACAAAGGCTTGCCTATTTTTGTTAACCAAATTAATTTGTTAATAGTCAATAGTTACAATGGCAAGCGAGCCATCCATCACATTTGTATTCGGCACAATAAAATGGCCACCGGTGGCTTCAGTCGGTACAAAGGCACTGCTAATCCAGATTTTTTTATATGACACTTGTGGCCAGGAAGTTGCAAAAGATTTTGCAGGTTTAATGGAGATACAGGTAGAACCCTGCCACTGTTTCTGTACCGGGAACTTCACTGGTGGCCTCTTGAAAGTAAATTACAAAGGCAAATGCTGTTTGGTTCTGGCACAGAGCAGAAGTTCGGACAGCATAGGTTTAACCTGCAAGGTTCAAGGGTAATCCACTCTGTGTAGTATGGTACCTCTCCCCCACTTACAAAGAAAAAGAGATGGATAATGGGGACCATTTCAACTGGGTGCCTGATACATTCAAAAGGACAACCAAATATTGGTGTCATGTGCTCAGTTTGCCCCATGCAAAGTGGAAATGAACCTACACATGAATGCGGTGTGTGCCACGCAGACAGACAGCGTTCTGAGAACAAAACATACCATCTCCAGTAACATGTAACTGTACCCACATACTTTACATTCAAAACCTTTTCGCGCCGATGACTCAGGTAGTTTAGATGACTATCAACCACTGAACAACAGAGGTTTATTCAAGTGCACCTCTAGGGAAAACATGTTTTCTCTGATTTTATCTGTTCAAATTTGGAAGCATCCAAATCGAACGCAGTGTCAAAAATGCTTGTAGTCATCGTTTGGCATGCACAAGAATTTATCCACTACGAACGCAGGGCAAGGGTTCCCCTTGTTTTCTCCGAATGACGCAAACTACATTCAGAATTCACACCTTGGCACGAATAGAAAAAAATCCATTATTAGCTTGTTATAGTTGAACTCTGAAGACATTGCGTTCAATTTGGATGCCTCCATATTATTTGAACAGATAAAATCGGAGAAAAATATGTTTTCCTTAGAGGTGCTCCTCAAATTACGAGAGAAGTATTCACTTTGCAAAGTGAAGCCTGATGGGGTAGCAATGTGTTTGCAAAAATATATGGAAAACTGGAAATTTTCTAAAACTTATTTACGGATATTTGCAAATCATATCTGCATTCTAGAACAATTTATCAACAAGCTAATGTACAAAAAAGCTGCATGTAAATGCAGAGTCAGTAACTGAAAGTTTAGTTTTGCTCAGTGCAAACAATGCCAAGGCGTGCCCACTGTCCATCAGATGAAGTTTACTCGGGCTGTTTAATGTGTCCCAACCATAAAAACTTAATCAAATTTTATTGGCAAATGTACTGCACTGTCTTTTAGAGTACACCATTAACTTCATCTCACTGCACTTTGTTCTACAAACTGACTGATAAATTCAAAATGTCTGCCCCCAGAACACATCAAAGCTTCTCTGTGCAGGGAATAGCAAGTTAATAGCCCTCATCATTCAGTAGCTCCTGAGCATCAACCCACTTTCATGAGTTCCATCTCCTGTTCACTGGTCACTCCAGGCTGGTAGTGCTCCATCATTTCTGTCAGCAGCTTGACGTTGTTATTGCAGCTCTCCAGCTCATTCATCCTCCGCGAGAGCTTCTCCGTCTTCTTCTCGTCCTCCTTGACCATGTTCTTGATGAGGCGGTTGGCCGCCTGGAGGTCCTCCGGATGCTTGCTCTTAAGTAGTCTGGCCAGGAGCTGGGAAGTGTGTTGAGAAGAACATTCCAATGAATGAACTTTTCCACTCTTAGGTGGTAAATTAGATAAAGCTGTTCTTCTGGTCCATCAACTGACTTGCAAAAAAGGCAAGATATATGTACATGTATATGCACATGAAGATGTACATTGGTAAACTTTACAAATAGGCCAAAACCCCACACAAACTGACTCCTAAAGGTATAAATTTGTACAATATTTGTATGGTATTTTACACTGGCTCCTCACTATATTCAATGCTCTAAACACAAACCATGCAGCAAAATTTGCTACAAAACAAGTCGATAAAGCAATCCCGTTCAAGCAAGGGAACGGGTTAGCGTAGCGGTTCTTTCCTCGCTTTGCACCAATGAGGCCCGGGTTCGAGTCCCGGCTTGGCCCAAGCGTTAAGTGCATTTGGTTTCCAGTCCATGCTCGCTCTCGCAGGTTTTCTCCGGGTACTCCGGTTTCCTCCTGCGTCTAAAATTGGACCTTCTTCCTAACTCCGTAATGTGATGCTGATTGATAAAGTGTATGAATAAACGTACAGTTGTGGGCACAAATAGCTTGAGTTGCTGAAAGCGCCATTAAAACAAAACAACAAACAAAACAAAACAAATCCTGTTCAAGCTCAGCACACAGACCATCTCCACAGACTTCCCAAGTGTGGCGTATGTATAAAAAAACAAACTGGGCAAAGGGCATGTATAACCGCCGTTGGAGGCTTGGGAAACGGTTGGAAAATTTCAGCCCCATCTTACACTTGTGAATATAAATTTTTTGTACACTGCTCTGGTTCTAACCGGTTGAAAGACTGTGCCTACATGAAATGCAGGGCTGACTGGCTGTGATGGTTCATGTTACAATAGGGCAATGTATAATGAGAAAAGAATAGCATTACTCAAGGTTTGTCTCATCACTCACTCCGCTGCTTGAATGAGAATAGTCAAGGTCCTTACTATGGATATGTTTGGACTGTTGGTGACTAGCCTGTGTGTATACATGTACCTCAGAAGGAATTTAGTTATTGAGCATTTGAACCTGTTGAAACATCAGTGACTATAACTAGAGTAATGGAATCAAAAGAGAGGCAGGCTCCATTCCAGCCTCTGTTCTTTCACAGAATTTTTAACAGTCGGCTGAATATGACGAAACATTTTGCAAGGAGTATAATCAAGAAAGCAATACTCCAATACCCAAAAATTCAACAGAGTAATTTGGAGGACGTAGGTATCAGAATACCACAGCAGTTATCTATTTTAAGGCAAATAGTACAAATGAAATCTTAGAGGCAGTTGCATATCATAAGTCTGACGCCTTATAAGTCCGACGCCTCGTAAGTCTGCATTTTCAGACTTACGAGGCATCTGACTAATGAGGCATTGGATTTATGGGAAATTTTTGTTTTCAGCCTCATAGTTCCGACACCTCAAAGGTCCAACAAGGTGTCGGATTTTCAAGGCGTCAGATCTGTGGGCCAAAATAAACTAATAAAGAATCATCAGACTTTATAGGCATCAGACTTATGGACTTTTTAAAACCCATTTTCTGGACTTCTGAGGCGCAGACCTATGAGCTGTCGGATTTACAAGCTGGCCCTTAAGAGGCTAGTTGCGGAGTACATGTAAGTAAAAAGGATGGACAAATAGAACCAATACAACGTCATGCAAACTCTACATACAATACATGTACATGTACTAGAGAGCAGTTGGCTCTATTGACAAATGCGACCCAGCACACTACTGCAGAAACTGCTCATGCTTAGCCTTATCAATAAGTACCTCAGTCAAACAGAAGAATAACGATGTTAGGATTTAGTCCAAATTTGAAAGTGGATGTATACACATACCGGTACATGTACCAGTGCCACAGTATATACATGTACCATGCTTCACCAAGAGAGGGCAACACACTTTGGAGAAGTCAGCTGTAAAACTACGTGTACACTACAAAACCTGAGGATGATGTAAAGACCAGATGCTGTCAAGCAAAAGTCAATGCCCATGGCTGGTGCCAGGTTTAATACATGTTCAAGTATATCTAACATCTGGACAACATGTCAATGGAATGAATCAATGAAAAGTGCTACAAACCTTAGATTTTTCTTCATCTTCAAAGGCTGCATTCTTGGGCCTAGGGGGTGGAGGTGGTAAGTACTGCTTATCCATATAGACAGGGTCCTCCTTTACTAAGCCTGAGGGAGGATACAATATCACTCAGTCTTAGACTGTTACAATACCCCTGATTGTGATGAATATTCACTGGAGCAATTGAAATGGCAAAGTTTCTCCACACAAAAAAAATTCCATGAAGTTTGGTATGAGTCTAAAACTGTCAAATTTTTTGATGAGGCATTTATTTTGTATAAGCATTCCGTGTAAAAATCATACATTGTCCACTTAAGAATATGCCAACTTTGACCTGACCAATTCCCACACATATACTTTTGAAATATTAACTCCCAAATCCCTTGGTATACTTTGCCAGATATTTTCTTGAATCCTCCAATATCTACATGTACCTCTTCGCATAATCCACTGCGCACTGATCCCCATGCAATGAAATATGTGTAGTTGTTGGGATATACCCTCCTGAACCCCATGGAATCCTCCAAAATGTCCCACTGGCTTACCATTATGCAAGATCTAAATGGGACATCTTTTGAAAAATTGCTTCAAACATTGTCTGACCTTGTTTCTTCAGCATCTGGTAAGCTTCAATAATCTTGGGTTCTTGGGGCAAGCCAGCCTGCCAACTGTACATCATCTCGATCACCTTCTTCTTGACTGACTCTGGTGATTTCGTGCCAAGATACTACAACAATCAAATGACATCAAACCATCACAATTCTACACACTCTCTCAGATGAATTTATAATCCACACAGTGCTGGGGTAAGTGACAGGGGGTTGGGGTACAGATAGGGTGGTTTGAGATGGCACAGGGATTCTTAGGCTGAAAGTTAGGGGGCTACAGGTACCTAGTATACAATAAACAGCCTCCCCCCCCAAAAAAAATATGGAGGTACATGTATCACTTCTTATATATGCTGTGTGTGCTGCTTTTGGGAAATCTGGTGAATGCCACAACTAGACACCTACATGTAGGCCCAATTTCAATGCACTGCTTACACGTACATGTAAATGCAGCAGGCATGCAACTTGAACTTTGGCCAAAAAACACGAGGAATTCTAATCTTTACAAGACTTCAAAAAAAAAACGAGGAAACCAGCTGATCCGAAGAAACACTGCATGCTTGTTTCAGAAACAGATGATTTTGTGATAACAGGTTCTGCCTACTCTGCGGAGACAATTGAGCAGGAAGTGAGGTAAAAGCAAGCTTACCCCAGCAGGGGAAAACTATTCAAAGCGGTGATACTGTACATGTACATGACATGTAACAACAGAAGTCTATACATGCATACACGAAACCACATCTATGCTATGAAACAGTGCTTAAGCAACAGCACGATTCTCTACTACTGTATTGTAAGCACAGCTTTTGGGCTTACGGTTAATAGTGTAAGCAGCACTTCTTTTTTAGGGGTGAGGGAACTGTAGATTTTTAGCTGAAAACTGGCCATGTGCCCTGCCTATAATTCACAAGCAAGGTCTGACTTGAACACGTGCAGGGGGCAGTCAGAAAAATTTAGATTTTGAAGTTTCCAAAACTTTATTTTTCAGACATTTTTCCCATCTGACATATTAAGACACAAGTACATGTAGATCAAGGGAACAAGGGGATGGAGAAATGTGAACAGGTCACAAACAAATCTTCAGAAACAGTTCATTTATATCTTAATTGAAAGGTCACTGGGTACATGTTTTTTTATGGCAGTGAAACAGGCTTGCATTGAGCCAAATTACTCAACCACTTGTTGCCGGATGATGTGTAAACACAGAGGACGTGTACACTTATTTAAAAATTCCTTTTTATTTCCGCGGTTGACATATTAATGCGTCATGCCTGGTTCGGTCAAAGCACAGAAAATGAACCCACACTCGGACACTGCTGCTGAGTGGAAACCCCTTTCCCCCCCCCAAAAAAAAACCCCACAATAATCCGGAAATACATTTCTTGAGTAATTACAATTGAGATGGGGAGCCCATACCATACACAAAAGAGCTGAGGGTATTAGACCTCCTTTTTTAAAGTAAGCCGATTTGCTAGGGAACGAAACCACACTGACAAGAGATATACATGTAAGGTCACAAAATCCAAACTAACAACTTCTTTGTATCCAAACAATTGCAAAAAAACACACAGGTGATGCCTATATACATGTATGTACAATATGGACCCTTTATATGCAAACTGGTTGACGTCTGGACATGCGCCAAAATTTTTACTCGGGGGAAAAAAATGAAAATGCTGATGCCTTAACTCAAGATGTGTGCCTCTGATCCCTACATATTTTACAGGTGCCAGAAATAATTTGTGAAGAAACCCCGCCCCCTACAGCATTTTCAGGGAAGAAACCAGACATTAACTGGTTCACAACCTGAAGAGAATGTTGAATATCTATTTAGCATTGACATTTACAATATCATAGGTTGATACATAATTGGCCAACAATGTCTCCTGATGAAGTAAATTATCTTTATTCCATCCGAAGCTTCCAGTCTACCTTTTATATTAGTATTACCTCCTTTGCCATAATTCATAAGATAGCAAACCACCTTTGATACACATGTACATGTACAGACAGTCATTGAAACACAACATTCTGTGCCGTTGCACCTGAAGCGCAATGCCAAGGTGTCCCTTCACTCAGTCCGTTCACACATGGGCATCGTTAGGACTATATCCAGGGTGGAGGTATGGCAGCAAACAAAGTGGAGTACATGTACTATCAATCATAAGGTATATTCAAGCAAGTAGGTGATTTTCATCCCCACTTCCTCCTTCCGGTTTATTTCTTTCATTTTTCTTTTCTTTCTTTCTCTTTTTGAGGGGGGGGGTGGGGAAAGGCCTCAATTGCCCTCCTGCCCTGTGACACCCACATAATAATTATCAGGTTTTTCCACTCACCTTTGGCGACACTAATTTAATCATCTCATTCAGGAAGCGGAACTTCCCCACCTGCTTATGAAAGGGCTCCCCACAGTTTTTCACACACGCTTCAACAACAGTCAATGCCTGGATGCAAACACAAACACACTAATACAATATGAGGCACTGCATGTACACTGTCATGACTGTTTTGCTGCAGTTTTCACAAGGGTATGGAGGTTTCGAGGAACAGTGGGTTGACTCTATCTGCTCTGACTGTAAGTGCCTGTCACTGGCAAAAGAAGGAAGGCTGATGGACCATTAGCTGGAACCATTCAGTGCCCGCAGCACAAGTGAAGACTGTATAATGTACATTCCAACAGAAACTGGCAATGCATGCTCAATGCTGCCAGTGCCAGGCAGGGATGAACAAGTACACGAAGTACTGGTATGATAGACACAAGACACAAAAATAAATATTCATGTTCCTACACGGAACACATACTCTGAGCGTAATGAGAGACACTGAGGCACCCCCAGACCACAGCTCCACCTCGCAACTTGCCACAGTCTGCCATGTACAAAATGAACAAACTGGAGGGCTCTCACCTGTAATGCTTCTCGCTCCTGGGGTGACTGTATCTTGTGACTGAGCAGTCGGCATGCTATCTCCGGCCTGGAGAGAAATTGAATGAAGACAGGATAAGGTCCCCATACATGTAAGTTTGGCACACTGAAAAGTTACATGTAGTACATGTACACTGTCAAGCTACATGTAGTATGTTGTTCAACTCCCATTTTTTTGACTACAGAACTGAAAAACCAAAATAGGCAAATGTGCCGAGGAAGTTGTGAAGAATTCAATTATTGAAAAGACAACGTATCTATCCAGTTGGTATGCAACTGAAATACAGAACTATGCTACAGGTACCTGCTTCCTTGCTACACAGACGAGAAACTCACTTGCCTTCAGACTTCCATTCTGTGTAATTCAAAACCCCATGCTTAGTGTTTATTTTCAAAAATAATCTGACCAACTCACCCTTCCAGTTCCACGTTTACACGGTCACAGAAATTCATGATATATTCCCAGTCCTCATCTCTGTTCATGGGACTGGTTGCTTTGTCTAGGGGGAAAAATAAATTGAGGTAAAATAGGCTTCATTATGAAGGATATTTGAAGTGTACAATAAACACAATGAAAGTCTGAAAAATTGTCAGAGACACACGTAGTCTGCAAAGCACTGGTTCAAGGCCGTTTATTCTAGGTATGAAGGCAAACACAAATTTTATGCAAAACTGAGTTAAGTGTCGAGTTTTCCTGACACGGTCTCAGGATCACATCCTGGCTGGGCCAGATGGGAAAGTTTCCATTTTTAACCCCCCCCCCCAAAAAAAACCAATATCTTCCTGTAATTTCATATTTCAAATCAAACTTCATGTTAAATTCTAGAATATTTAACCTTTCTGTTCATGATCTAAGGCTCAGGAGGATTTTCTTTTAAAAGAACACAAAATCCGAAACTGTACATGTACCAGGTCTCTTTTTCTATCTTGTGAACACATGTATGTATTTACTTACAATAAATAAGTACATGTAAATGTACTATACATGTACATGTATGTGCATGTCTCAGTACTGTAATCATGGAACCAAAGATTTGTTGCAGAAATAATAAATAACTCACAGCAAAATACATATATTCAGTTGCCAAGAAAGCAAAAACAAATCCATACCAACTGGCAGTCTAATACATGCATCAACTGCCTATATGTACGTGTACAACTGTTTATGTAATCTGTGGGTAGGAACTTGAAGATTTTTGGGGAAGCTGGGAGTTGCATAAGCTCTGTACTTAACATGTACATATGTAAGAGTGTCCAATGACTTCATGCACCTGTAAGTACCATCCCCAGACTAGGGCCAGTCTACTGGACTACCTCCATATCTCGTCTGGGGCTAAGTTTGTATACATGGACATGTATGTCTCTGTATCATCATGAAACCAAATAAAGATTTCTCATGGTAAATTTTCTACAATATGGCATTTATCACGATAACCGTAATGTACGTGTAACTTCCAAATTCTAAAGTCACAGCACTGCACAATTGTCATTACTAATCCGTGAAGTTTTAATTTCCTATATCATCATGTACATGTACTGTGATGGTGCAATTGGCATTCACGCTCTTCTGCAATCCAGACATGCAAGGATCATGCCCACTCATCATAGGATTGTTTTCCTTTTTTTTTCCTTCTTCATTTTGTTTATTCCTTTCTATACAAATTTTCTTTTCTCTGAAGGGAGATTCACACCCTTGGAGGATTTTTTTCAAGGGAAATACTTGTAAAGTTCAAGATCAAGTCCAATGACAAAGTGAACACCTGTTTTGTCAAAATGATGTGCATGAGTGGTTTCTGTATAGGGATGCCATCCTTACTGACTATGCATACACATTATTAAAAAGTAATGATTGTGACTTCTTTGTTTCGTCCTGTGACATTGATTTCTGCGTAAAACTTAAGGCTCATTCTGTTACATTCTATGACTTTTGATTTAGTAACCAAGTTGCTGTGCATGTCAATTTCTTCTTTGTTATAAAGATAATCACTTGCTTTTGGGCATGTTATTATTAAGGGGTATTGCAGCATACCTGTGTACAAAACTATGGAGTGAATTATTATGTATGGCCTTTGACAGAAGGGGCAAGTTTCTTTTGCTGTTCAGTTTAGTTGCAGCTACTTCGAGAAGTAAAAGTCACTACTCCGTCATACTCCGTGTGACTTTGAGCCAAGAAGGTTTACGTGGTTTGGTGAAATGGTTATCAGGTGTAAGAAAGCTATTAAATCAAATTATTTTCCCGTCAGCAAGTCTGCTTAATTTACATGTATACCTCCTAAAAAGTGGGATAACCATGTTTCAGAGCATGAGACAGAGCATATTTGAAAATAAAAAGATTTTTGAAAAAAAAGAAAGAAATTTTTGCTCATCAATTTTTCATTCCACCTGCCGACTGCCACTCTGTTCATGCCATTCCTGTTAATCAGACTAGTGCATGCATCAAGCCCACCAATCACCACACTTTCTCCGCATCTTGGTTCAACCATGCTCGTCTTGGCTGCTGCTGTGACCTGGAAACACCCATCGGGCAGGACGTGCGAAATTATGCTGTGCTGTGTAGCAGTGACAGATTGCGAGACTTGAAAATCCCCAAAACAAAAAAATTTTGTTTTTCGTCTAGTTTCCCAACTCAGGCTTTTTGGATTCATCAAAACAAATCTCCATCCAGTTCAAGAAACAAGACTACATGCACATTGCCTTATTTGTCATTCACAGCTCTCTTCGGGGCAGTCACGTACGCTGCCGTTTTACCCCAAAATTTCTCTCAAAACCAAAAGCCCTGTTCTCTTTTCTTTCTGATAAGAAAGAGGACATCACCAACAACTTGTTTAGATAGGTAGGCCTAAGTAAAGTTATTTCCAAAAAGAAGAGTTTGTTCCCTTATAATAAGAACAGGGTGCTTACGGTAATGGATCCCCATAAATGAATAGTCCCTCCTCCAAAACAGGGATCAATAAAACAGAAAGGATGAATTTATAATAAATAGCGAAACTGGTAAAGGTAAAATGTACATGTCATGACCCGATTGAACTGAATGACCAATTTCAACACGCCCACTAACGTTACTACATGATGACGTCTACGTCTAGTGACCACAGCACCGTATGAAGAAAAAAATGCAGCATTTGTGACACATAAAAGACTGATTCACTGAACTTAATCAATCATTTATCAAAACAAGAAAATACACCAAAACACAGAACTTACTCAGCAACGTTTCGAGCGTTTCAGTTTCATCAATGGACGCCATTTTGCCCCTTGCAGTAGACTTGATTTCAAGTCGGTAATGGCTAGTCAACAATTTAGTGCGCCCTCTAATATTATTGTCACGGATAACCAACATTAGAAGCCATTACTGCGGTGGTGCAACGCTCGTGGACAGGTGGTACGCGCGGGTTCCACGCTTCTTTGACCAATAGGATGTCGATAGTGATTAGCCAATGCACGTTCGCGTCAAGCTGATGTGCGTGTGAGTGCAGCGCCACCACAGTTATGGCGTCGAATCGGATTAGTCTATAAAAAGTAAAGACCGCTCTTGAAGAAAATTCACTTGTCAACCATTTCATTGAATTTATTTCATTCATCTTCATAGCAGTTAAAGACATCGATATGTTAAAATGGAACACCAAAAAGGGACAAGAATCTCAATCACTGACGTTTTCCAACGTCATATATAATGAATATAAAAGAGGGTTCGTGACACAAAAATAATTTTAGTCTACATTTAATAAAGGGTGTCTTTAAAAAGAGGAAACCGAGATAAATTTGTATGTTTCTATTAATATAACCGATTATTTTAGTAAATGGTAAAAATCATCGGTTTCATTTTGATGTCCTCTCGTTTGACACCAAGAAATCCACATTTTTATCACAGATGACAGAGCACGAAGTGGTTTAATAGGACCAAGTAAAAATGACTTTGGCCAAACAGCTGTTTTGGTGTTGAATTCGGACTGTCGAGGAATAGATATTTTGTCAGAATTACGTAATGTTTCCTACAATCTCCAATCTGCCTGCGAACCAAAAGCGATAAGAACAAGGGCAAAAGTTTCCTTTTTGGGTAAAGAAACCGGGGAATGTCCAAGAACACTAGGGTAAGGCTGCTTCAAGAATAAGTCAATCAGTACGGTTGTCTCTGAATTAATAATTTTCGCAGTGTACTTAATACCTTACGTTGCCTGATGCATGTGTGACGGAAATGTGGTTTTCTAGTTGTCATACGAAAGAAGACATCATACGGAAGGAAAGGAAAAGGCAAGGCAAGGCAAGGCAGGGCAGGGCAGGGCAGGCATTGGCAAATCACAATGCGCTAAATCTTTCAACCCTTTCCAAACGCGCATTGGGTTTAATTATTTTGCACATTGTGATTCGCCAACGCACTGCAAACTCTTGAAGGCGCACTATTGTAAAACGGCAGTATTAAGGTAAGAAAGTTTAGTAACCTGAAATAGGCAAACGGAATCTGTCCCCCTTGAATTTTTTTCTTGATATCGCCGCAGTGAAATTTTTTCAGAAGTCTCGTTTTTCAGAATTTTTAGAGTAGGACTAACTCTTTGCGGTCATTTGGGCACATTTTTTTGGCAAAAATTAAACACACCGTTCTCGGACAGCGCGCATTTATCCAAGACGGGTAAGCCGAAACGTATATGTTTTCCTCTGCGGTGCTCAATGCATGATTACTGGCTCTCATGTAGCCATGAATTTCAAATGACTATAGAATAATCTGATTAGACGCCATAACTGTGGTGGCACCGCGCTCACACGCACATTCTTCAGCTTGACGCTTGCGTACATTTGGCAAATCACGACACCCTGTTGGTCGAAGAGGCATGTAACGCGCACGTACCACCTGTCAACGAGCGTTGTGCCATCGCAGTAATGGCTTCTAATTCTGGTGGTCGAATTACACTATAACGACAAAAACATATGTCTGATTGAGTTCAAACTTCACCTTTGTAATAAGGAGTGTTTGTACGTGCATACCAAGTTTGAAAAAAATCAGATCTGGCACAGCCCAGTCTTTGGCGGCGGAATTCGCCCCCCCCCCGCTGTGAGATGGGTAAAAATGACGCAGCTTTTTGAGAGAGGGATTCCGAACATGCTTAATGTAGCTTGCGTCATTCTGAAAAAAAAAACAGAGAAAACGAGGGGAACCATTGCCCTGTGTTCATAGAGGATAAACCCTTGTGCACGTCAAACAGCGCATGTATCCATTGTTTGTAGCCATTGTTTGGCATGCACAAGGTTTATCCACCACGAACACAGGGCGAGGGGTTACCTTCATTTTCTCTGTTCTCTCAGAATGACGCAATTGGAATTTGCATATTGCCATGAACAGAAAAAACCCGTTTACCTTGTTATAACAATTGATCTCTGAAGACAAATGACAATGCGTTCGATTTGGATGCTTCCGTACTTATTTGAACAGATGAAATCAGAGAAAATTTGTTTTCCTTAAAGTTTCTCTTTTAACAACGCCTTGAGTTGACCATAGACGCATGATGCAAATATTATCTTTATCTCCAAATTTTACATTACACTTGCCCTTAAACTTGGGAAATTTTCTTAACTGTACCTTTGTGTCAGTCTTTGCAGGTAACAGGAACATATTCGAATGTTTTGAAAACTGTCGGGGAAAAATGCGAAAAAATATCCCCAAAGGGCCTCGGACACTGTTGAGCAGCCTTAGACAGGGTGGTCTAAATTGAAAGACGAAATTGATGAAGTTTAAAAAAAAAACTACCCCAAGACAGAGACCAAGCAAAGGTTTTAAACCTTGTGGCCCCGTTCGGCTACTCTTGAGGGAATCCCTGCCCAGTGTGGTCTTGGCACCAGACATCCAGTTCTACAAGGAGGGAATCCAGCACTGGTCTCTGTTCGGGGTCGGCTGCTAAACACACGTTGCAGAGCGGTATGAGGTCAGACATACCGGGTACCCGGCAGGCAATGTCTGTCATCAGGACTCCCAGGCCGAAGACGTCTGACCTGACACCGTAGGGTACCAGGCCCTCTACCACTTCAGGTGCGATGTGCCTGCAGTGGCGGTAGTACTCGGCCTTCTCTGAGGGCGTCAGTGTGAGGCACTGCGAGGTGGGCCCCGTCAACATCTTGGCGTTTCCAAGGTCGATGATCCGGCCATACCACCTCTCTTTGGACTCGTCTGGTTGGCTCCAGTCCCTCCAGAGAAGCACGTTGTTGCACTGCAAGTCGCAATGGGCCCACCCTGATTGGTGGAGGGCGGAGAGCCCTGTGATAACGTCGTAGAGTACCAAGGCCCAGTTTTCGATCGATAATGAGGGCGTCCGATGACGGAGCACATTGAAGATACTCAATGTCTGCATCGACTCTTGGTTTCCTATGAACTCCTGAGCGAAAGATAGATCGGAGATCACCCCGATCAACTTTGGGAAGACGGGGCAGTGCTTCACTGCCCTTAGGGCCCTGATCTCCTTTGCCATGGTGGCGTGGGAGTGGGCGGGACTCCCGACGAACCACTTTAATGCAACCATTGACGAACCTCCCTCGGGTTTCAGGTACCGCATCAGGCGGACCACTCCACTTTGTCCCCGGCCGAGAATCAGCGGTTGATGGGGCTTCTTGCAGATGGAGCGCAGGTCCTTCTTCTCGATCGAGGGAGCTCCGTCATATTCATCTTCACCGTCACTCTGCTCCTGCACATGATTGCTCTGTTGCTTGACTTGTGACCTACTTCTGTAGGGCAAAGGAAAATGTGGCTGAGTATGTCACTCAATCTACTAAAATGGAATTCTAGATATCACGAATACCAAAATAAAACTAAAAGAAGAATGGGTAGTAAACTCACTTTTTAGATATTTGCTTTGGAACACATTCCTGCAGAAGTGTTGCATTATTACTTTAAGAGTTATTTTCCTCTTAATAAGATACTTGGGCTTTTTGCCAATTGTATAAGCTGCTTATCTGTGAAGGAGTATAACAGCCAAGACCCCGCAGTATTCTGAAATAGGCGCCACTTACAGCAATTCCAAAGAAGTCTTGCTTTTTTCCTCTGCCATTGCCATAGTTTGTTCTTGGGCCACTTTTATCAGATTCTGTGTAAAGAGGAGTTATGGAATGAGAAAAGTTTAAACGAGAGCTAATTTGAAAATACTTATACTAATCCCAGTGACCATAATCTTTTCCCAAAAATTATAATAATGAATTAAATGTGATGTAAAGGAGCTACTCATTGGAAGTTATATACGAAGTTGGGAAATTTACGAAGACTTTCTTACCAAACTAATATCTACAAGCCACATCCGTCTGAATCAGCCATTTGGGGGGGGGAATGAGTCGCTTAAGTTCTTTTTCCGGGATGGAGAATTAGTGTTTTATAGGGCCCTTTGAAAGGGTGAGGCTAAGTATGTTAACACACTTTTGTGAGGAGTGTAGTGATATCGTATGAAGAACTTTGTCCTCATAACCCGTAAACTATTTTGCTCACGAGGATAGAGCGTGGCCGCCTTTGGCCGCAGGGATCTGCCAATGGTATAATATGGAATAAAGACGAAAAACGAGATGTCTTTATTAGGGTGTAAGAATAAATTTCCTTTCAATCAAAACAGCTTTGTATTAGAAACTATTGCTCTATTTATGAATCACAAACCGTCTTCTCTGTGATTAGAAACAGTAAGTGTGTGCACGTAGTCTGACTAACTTCATGGTTTTGCTGTTGTAGGGTATCCGCTCTCTCCATGGGCTGTGCTTTTCCCATGCCATCTCTTACGCTGGTGTTGCTCTGAGCGCTATCACCTCGACTTCCGACCGAGAACATAGGAGACGTGGCAGGCGCGACGGTCACCAGTCTCACACTGGGATAGCATCCCACTTTTTCGCCTGCAGGGGACTGACTCGTTGCCACCACGGTCTCGTCTACCTTCTGCTCTTGGTCTTCGGACTCCTGGCTTGGTGGTCTTGGGGTAGGAGACCGTCTACGGGCCAGGCCGCCTCTCCTAACGGTGCAACAGCTGAAAAGACTCCCCATCAGGCGGCCCAGCACCATCGGAGGGGACCTGGTGATGAGTAATGATCGAGCTCACGGTGAAAGGATCGACTCCGTCATCATGTGACAGCAGACCCGCATGACAAGTTTTTGACATCTTAGCTGAGTTGCATTAGTTTTTTCCCCATACTGTTTTTTCCCAGTAATCCGCACACTTACGTAAGTTACTTTCTTGTGCCATTTGAGACTCCAACTACGTATACAAGAAAATTAACTGAAATTCTACGAATGCTGTATACACACCCGAAAACTAATACAATGCCATTAAAAAATTCTGCTCCC